ACGCGCGTGTGCGCACGTACGTACCAGTATTGCGGTGCTGTCAGCGCGACCCACGAAACTCGACGAGGAGGCAGACTTGACCTGCACCAGAGGTCGATTCAGATGAACAAACCGCCTCACGGGCGTTGTTATGGGATCCGACCCTCCTCCTCCTCCTCTCGCTACCTTCTCTATCCGCGGGCTGCTGCCGGCCGCCTGTGCGCGCTGCAGACGTCTCCCCGGTACGCCCCTCATCGTGACGAGAGCGTCGACCTCCTCCAGAGAAGAGGAAGACGTTCTCCTGTTTCGCGAGGAGAAAAGGTTCATCTGTCGCAGCCTGCCCGGGACGCCGCGCATTCTCACCGGCGTCTCCTCCTCGTCAAGAGAGGAAGCAATCGAAGCACTTCTCGCGGAGGCGAGCGTCTCCCCCTCCCCCTGGTACACGGGGAGGGAGAACGGTCGCGCGAGTGTCGTCGCTGACGGGCTCACTGGTCGGCTGTCCGTGTCGTCGGAGTGTCGCCGCGGCAGCGCTGCGGTCGCCGGCGATGAGGCCGGCGTCGTCGGCCGGTCGTGCTTCTTCCCGCGGTACCTCGCTGTCAGCGAGAAGATAGAAATCCGCGGCGACGACGTCCTCTCGCTTGCAGCGCCCTCCTCGCCCGTCAACGAGACCCGCTTGTTTCGCGAAAGATTCGCATTGCCGACGGACTGCGACATGGTGGCTGTAGTAGAGGAAGGCCGTATATAGAGCAGCTGTATAGGTGGCTATAGAGCTGATGTCGGTGCTGCGTACGCTTCCAACGTGTGCGATGTCGGCTTGTGAGACACTCGGTCGGCAGAATGAGTCATACCGGCACACCGTGCATCGATACAGTAAAACACCTGAATGCAAGTAAATGACAGAGTTAAACAGAACGTTTATAAGGAGTGCCACTGGCTGGGGGAGAGAAGAGGAAGGGGGGAAGAGAGAGATGGAGAGTGAGCGCGCGCGCCTGCGGTTTACGGTAACCCTCTCCTGTTCTGTGCGCACCCTAACTGTAAATGAACGAGCTCGGCAAATTTACTGCCCTATTACCATACACATTTAAATTTGGACAATTCGATCGCTCTATTCGAATTCATTGGTCGATTCAGCCGTTATTACAGTAAAAACGGCCGAGAGTGGAACTAGTAAGTTTTTGTCCCGTAAAATACACCGATGGTGCACATTTACACGTATACCAGACGCGGCTGGCTTATTGCAACGCGCGAGCGTGTTAGCGGCAATGCACAAATGCGTAGACACTCTTTACTGTGTGCGGGATCACACACACGTACGCACAAACATACACGCATACGAACACATACACACATTCTCTCTCTTTCTCGCTCACTCTCTTTTTCACGCTCCCCCTCCCCCTCTCTCTCTCTCTCTCTCTCTCTCTCTCTCTCTC